AAGATGGGCCTAGTTATCAATAAAGAAAACACCAAGTGTAAATGTAAAGGAAAAGGAACTAAATCTCTTTCTCTAAATGGAAAAAAATATTGAGTGTCAAAATGTAAATATTTAGGAATGCATATTGGCTTTACTAGTGAGAGTAAAAGGGCAGAAATATATCATGTCCTCACTCACTGTAGAGCAAGATTACAGCCTTGAAGGCTCTAGCATGTTGTGGTAAAGGAGCTGGGGTACCCATACTGAGACTGATGTATATTTCTACCATAAGATCACTTAAAGACAGTGCAGCACCTGTCCTCTCTTGTACTGGTGAAGGAAGACTGCGGAAGCAATGAGAATTATTTTAGGATGTCAAAAGAATGCAATGATTGAGATAATGAAAATGGAACAAGAGTTACAGAGCATTTTACAGAGGGTCAATGAAATTAATAAGTTGCAGCAGTTCGATTAATGAGCGGGAATAGTGTGGGTAAATTTGTACAAGATATAAATGATGGCTTCTAAAGTAAAAGGTCCTTCTGGAGGGAAGGCAAGAAGGGATACATGAATGGGAAAAACAAGAAGTTGAGTTTGACATAGTGCCTTTCACAATGAAGAAATAATTACATGAACCAGGACAGATAAGGGTTTAATATGGAAATAAGATTAGTAATTTGCATGTATATTGTGGCGGTTCAGTTGTGTCAAGTGACAGTGCAGGATGTGGAATCATTATAAGACAGTACACAGAACAGGGTACGGATGACACCAAAATTGGACTCAGGCTGAGCAATTTCATGTCATCGACAAAAGCTGAGTTCTATGCAATGTTAATAGGATTGCAAAATGTTGTAAAGAGGAATAAAGATGCATATTTTTTGTTGGTAGTAGGGCAGCTTTGGATTATTTAAGGCGCGGAAGTCCAGTCTTTGAACACATTATTGGTTCATGTAGAAAACTAGTAAATACAATAAGGAAAAAAAGGCCATCGTGTTCGATTTATATGGGACCCTTCACATGTGGGGAGTGGTCTTAATGAATCAGTAGATATAATAGCAAAAAAGCCACGGAAAAGGCCGAGATCGACATAATATGTATTAAAACTTTGAAACAATTATGAAGCAAATTAATGAAAATACAATCAATAGAAGATAATTTAAAAAGGAATGAAATATACGAGAAAACTGACACAATGAAACACTACCATCATGTTCTCTTGAACACAAAATTTACATATCGGAAAGATAGGAGCAGTTGGAAAGATTCAGTGTATATGAGGTTATAATTAGGATATAAATATTACTGGGAACTTGGAGCTGAGAGAAGTGAACAGGATAAAGATTGTAGATTATGTGATAAAGGTCAACGCTTGTCACCTAAGGGACGTGTAAAGCCAGTACCATTTTCAAGAGTAACCATAGACCTTGTTGAGCCTTTACATCCCCCTTCCTCTGGTGGTCATATACCCATTTTGGCACTAATTGACTTTGCCACTGGTTTCCCTGATGCTTTACCACTTAAAGAAATGAACTCTATATCTGTCGCAGAGGCCCTCATAGTCATCTTTTCAAAATTGGGTATTCCTAGGGAAATCATCTCTGATCGTGGTACTCAGGTTACCTCTCAGCTTATGGGAGAGTTACACAAGCTATTTGCTTGTCAAACCCTTGTTCACGACTCCGCACCATTCTAGTGGTAATGAGAGAATTGAAGGTTTCCTTCTACCCTCGGCTTAACTGAGGAAGGTGTGTAAGGACAAACTGTAAGAATGTCACTTATATTTAGTCCCACTTTGTTTGTTCTTAGAGAAATCCCGAGTGATAGAACATAATTTTCCCCCTTCGAATTTTTGTATGGCAGACAAGTGAAAGGTCCCTTATCAGTTTTGAGAGACTTGTAGGAGGATAAAAGTACACAGAAAGATGATAGAACCCTGTTTCAATATGTTTTTGAGCACCCTAGGAATTAGGTGACCTATTTAGTTGATGTAAATGGACATTCCAAGCTTGTATCATGGTAATATTCTGAAGAGATACCATCGTAGGGCACAGGTAGCTCAGGTACAATTGTTGGATGAAGTTTCCACAGTTGATAATTCTGGTAGACATTTAATGACCGTTCAAGTATGTGTTCTTAACGAATGTTCAGAGTTTGAGGAAGACTCGAGTGCCTTAGCCATAACTCAGTAAGGGGAAGATTCCACTGCACCCACTTTCGAGACTGACAGCCCTAACATTTCCCTGATCTATCCCCCGAGCAGAGAAATTATATTGCTTAAGTCAGGTGAGTCACTTTGGTCAAGTAGTCTCGGAAACACCAGGCTCTACTTCTACCATTCAGCATGATATCACTCTTTCCACAACAGAGTGACTGAACTCCAAGGTCTACCTCATACCCATTCAAATTCAGTACCATTTTGAGGAGGAAGTAGAGAGGTTACTTGACCAGGGTATCATTAGACTATCTAAATCTTCCCATTGTTCTCCTGTTGTAATGGTTGGTAAACCTGATGGTAGCTATCGTTTGGCGATAGACTATCGTGTGCTCAACTCTGTGACTGAAATTCATGCAGTACCTATGAGTGCAATGTATGAAAATTTACATAAGTGCAATGGTTCAACATACTTTCAGAAATGGACCTTCCTAAGGCTTAATACCAAGTAACACTAAGTCAGAAAGCCAAGGCCCTTACTGTTTTTCCCACCCATAAGGAAAAACACCCAATGGAGTTTTGCCGACTTCCATTTGGTTTGGTTACCGCTTGTGCCACTTACATCAGGCAAATGTGGATTGTATTAGCAGGACTTAAGAATGTTTCTTTTTATTTTAACAACGTGTTTATATATTCGGACACCTGGGAGGAACTTCTGAGAGTCCTTACTGCTGTTCTGGAGCGTCTACAGGATCATGGATTAACTGTCAGACCAGCTAAGTGTACAGTAGATTTGGTTTCAGTTCTATTCAGTATTTGGTCTATGTTATTGATGGCAACTGTAAAATTCAAGCCATTTTAAAGGTACCACCTCTTACCAGTAAGAAGACTCTTAGATCCTTCTAAGGCATGATATCATTTTATAGGGATTTCATACCTCAGGTATCTTCTCTTACTGGTCCCTTGTCTGATTTATTTCGTAAAAATGTGCGGGAACCTTTGATTCGGAGAAATGAACTGATAGAGAAGTTTTATCAATTTAAACTAGTATTATTCTCTTACCCTATTCTCAAATTATCAGATTCCTAACTACCTTTTGTCCATAAGACAGATGAATCGGATTATTGACTCGGTGCAATGTTGCTCCAATACGTAGGAGGTGATCCATTCCCAGTCGTGTATGCTAGTAAAAAGCTGCCAGAACGGGAGAGAAAGTATTCCACAGTAGAAAAGGAATGTCTCGGTATTATCTTTGGTGTAAATAAATTGAAATACTAGCAGACGGGATCGGAATTTGGGCTAGAGGTTGACCATAAGCTTTTGTTGTATATTAACAAATTTAAAGGTTCTAACAAAATGCGTTGGACACTCGGCTTACAACCTTACAGGCTCAGATGAGTTCACATTGCTGGTAGTGACAATGTAGGAGCTGACCTCTTGAGTAGGTCAGAGAAATAAGATGTGATCTGTATCTAACTTTGTTAGATACTTGTTGGGGGAGCAGTGTGAGGGAAACTGGTGGTGTGGTTTAGGTAATTTCTTTAGGGCTATTCAAAGTGTTGGGTTACTCATTCACCGGGATTCGTTTAATTTGGGGCACTATTGAGCCTCGTACAGGTTCAAGAATGTCAGGATCTCGGTGGTTCATGCAAAGTGCTCGAGGTGTTATGAACCCTGAACAGAGGAGTTGTTTGCTGGAAGGTGAGTTGGTTGGTCACAAGACTTCCTTCCCTTACCCAGCGCCCATCGGTAAGAGAACCCTCCACTTTTATTATAGAATTGTCTGTTATGTTCTTTTGTGATTTGTTTGGGTTTTGTTCTTTTGTGATTTGTTTGAATTTTGTTCTTTTGTGATACATTTCTGCTATGTTGATTGTTGATATGTTACTATTGTGATTTAATGTTCAATATGTCAGGTGTGGCTCATACTTAATGTTTGGTACTAAGTTTATTACTTTATGATTTTGCCGGAATATTAAGATTATGTTGTTTAGGAGGGCTCTACTCACGTCAAGGACCGGGCGTGAGAGGCGTCCTCATCAGTGTTCGTCAGTCCTTGTAGTCCAGGGGGACTATACATTATGTATGACCTGACCTACGGAGGCCAGCAGACCAGAGTTTATCGTATCCCAGTTCAGGGGTGACTTCAATCTACTAACCACATCCCTTGAGTATGCTACTCGGGGAGCGGGAGCTTCACTATACTCCGGTCGACCTCTTGCCTCCCTATACCACTTCTGACAACTCGTTGGCGGAACTGCTATGTGTTCGACCTGATGTTCGGTGTCAGCGAATTCCCCCGGTTAATTTGTTATATTTACTTTTGTGCGTGTGATAATATTGTAATTAAATTTTTATTTATAGGTACAATTTTCCTTTGGCACCCCAGAATCGATTGGCATAACAGCTCTACCATCAAATATCCTATATAGCTTTGCCATCTTGTATATGAATAACCTGCAAGAATCACAGACCTCAGTTCAAGAATGTGCTTATATCTTTCGGCAACTGCAGTTATGGAGTACTCTCATCAATTAAAACATCGTTTATTATCAATTGTTTATGCTTGTTAGTAAATATACCTGTATCAGTTAATTTATCTCTACACTGATTATCTTGTTTGCTAATTGTTAGCCTGTCACTTCAGTGGTTTGTTGATGGACTCAACTTCATTTACTTTGGTACCTGTCAGCAGGTAATATGGTAGTGGCTCAGTAATCACTTTACTAGAAAAGATCTTAATAACCTGCCCTCTTATTTTGAAGTAAAAAGGACAAAATGTCACTTAAGCAATTATTAAATTAATTTTTCAAAAAAAAATCCCCAGTTTTATAACAAACTTCATCTTTACATATCAATAACTCACTTATCAATGAAGATGCCGCTCACTGGAGCGCCAACAAACACTCCAATCATGTAGATGCTCTGGTAGGTGGACCGTAGGTACTCCCGTTCACACACCAACTGAAACTTAATAAATAAATTTCAGTCACTAGTGGCAGTACCGTTGATACTCGCTAAGGTAATGATTCTTTTATACGTAACCAATGAAGTATATTTAATTATTGTAGAATATACCACCTCCCTCCCCAAGGATGAGTTTCAAAATGGGTGTAATCAGTGTTTACTCTCCTTTGTTTGTTTTTTAGTTTGCTTGTTTGGTCGATGTCTTAAGGACTTTTTAAACTGGAAAGGTGGAATTTAAATATTTTACCGACTAAATGCTTTGGCGATATGTTTTCTTTGTTTTTTTTTTTGCTCATATTTCGTACATGACATGCCAGGGCCATGGGGAGGGGGCAGTGTTCACTCAACATACTGTACCTTTCTTCGTGTTTTTCCAACTCAGAGGTTCCCAAACCCGACCCTAAATGGGTAAGAAGTCTCATCACGAGGGGTCATAGGGAGTTCATGTAGTCCCTGGGATTGGAAGTATCTTTGCAAAGGTCTCAGTTAATTTTGATAGGCAATATGTCAAGGTAAATCTTCTTTGTGATATTTGATGTCTGGTCAGAGGGCATTTGATGGATAAAGTCCGAAATTTTATGAAAAAGGATATTTTTCTGGGAAAAATTCTCCTATACTCCAGTAGCCAAGCTAAGATTGACAATTTCTCTCATTTCCCTAATTACTTAGAATTCACAGCAACAACTTAATGCCGAGCTTGACCTACCTAACAATTGTCAAACTTTGCTCGTGTGTGCGTTGCCACGTGACCAATGCAGGGTAGGCCAAAAATTATGGCTGTAGACTGAAAAGACTGATGTTGTGACGGGTGCAGATATACGAGTATATGGTGGTCGATGAATTCGACCACTAGTTAACCCAACCCCCTGTTAACTCAACCCCAGTGATTGTAAAGCCCTTATGGGGAGTCACTCTGCTCACCTCACATGAGGAAAGTTGCCCTAAACATACACTGTCTACTACAACTTTGCTGACTGGGCAAACGCACCCAGTAAGGTCATCTCCAATGTGGTAAAAAGCACAAACAAGAGTCAAATAGAAACAAATGATGCAACCTCTTTCTGGATATTGGCACAAGCGAGCATCCTGAAAGAAACACCGCCCTTGTGGCAAAAGAGCTGCCTTGACACAACATCGAAATAGAAGCCATTAGTGAGTCACTGCTCCCAGAAGAGGATCGACTTACAATATATGGGTCCGGCTATAGGCCAAAGGTTCTTGGCAACACCTGCGATCAAAACATAGGAATCTCATTGATTACATCATTGTCATGGAAAAAGATTCCCTAGATGTTCTCTTCACGAGAGTCCTTCAATGCTCAGACCATGATATAAAGATGATTGTAAAACTCTGGTTTTCGCCACAAGTAATAGTCTTCCTGAGAAATTAATGTAAAATTGAGATATCGTTAGAACCATGTTATTTTGAAAGTCCAACTGGTATTGTTGAAAGGGTTTCAGAACCTACAATTGACCCTGCACCATAAATGATCTTAAACATTAAATAAACAAAAAACATTAATTAATAGGAGACAATCAAACACATATGAAGAAAGACATCATGATAGTCTTTATCAAAATATTACATATAAATACAGTGCTTTAAAGCAGTTTTAATTAAAAGTGCAATAAATTACTTACAATTTTATTCCTTAAAAATTATCATTGAATAATTGAATTTAAGCATATAAGAGGACAAATTACAATTCATAATTATATGCGTATGTCTATAACACTTACACCTTAGATTTTCTAGCATAACTTTTCAATTCTGCATGTGGATAGGCAAGCCAATTTTCTTTATAATCATAGTAATGGCTAGTGCTACTTGTGAACAGGGCTGTGCCCTTTTGTGGGCCGAGTTAGAGAGGGCCAAGGAAGAAATCTTGAAATTAAAGGAAGAGATGGCAAGGATGAAGGAAGAAACGAGACAAGGAAAACTGGTGTCTGACGAAAATTCAGGTGAATGGAAGGTTGTGAGGAGAGGGACGACCAAACTGGTGGTGAAAAAACGCACCCAGATGGTGAAAAACACACCAAGGATACATCAACAAGAGCTAAGTGTACCAACTCTTTCAGTCCTTTGATAGATGAATTGGACGTTAGTATACTCAGGGACAAGGCTGACAAGGAAGGTACGAAAACTTTAATTGCTGGCGACTCATAGGTACGGTACTTGGACAGAGCTTTTTGTGGGAAAAATAAAAATAGGATGAGGGTGTGTTTGCCAAGAGCTGGGGTGGGGGATATAGTTGACAGGATGGATGTCATGGGTTGCATTGGGCCTCCTGCACAACCCATCCCAAATGTTTGTTTAAGTAGAGATAAGGTACCCGACCAGCCGATAGGGGTCATTTCACTCCTCAAAACCACATTTTAGTCAGTGGGCTTTAGACCTTGGGGGAGAGTAGACTCCTGCTCTGCGGAATTAGAACAGGGGCCATACAGTCCTACCAGTGCCACGAGTCTGTGTGTGCAAATTCCCGAGATTGTTGTTAAGTCCAGCAAAAAGTTAATGCACCCTGTAAAGGAAGTGGTCACTGGTGAGGGCCTGTTTGCTACAAGAGCATTCCAGGCTGGCCTAATAGATCTAACGATTAATTCTCCAGGTTGACAAACTCTCCCTTATAACTTACGGTACTGTGGCGCGAATGTGAGTGACTGACCTATCCATGCAAATTATAAGTCCAGTGTATGGAATTGTGCTAAATAAACGTAAGTGCAATTATCTGCCCGTATCTGTAACCACATTATCATTATTATTATCAAAGGTAATAAACGACATAGATATCGGCATAGACAGCAACATAAGTAAATTTGCTGATGACACTAAAATAGGATGTGTAATTAAATCTGACGAGGACTCCGCAAAACTAGAGGAAGAGCTAAACAAATTTTTTGAATGGTCTGAAAAATGGCAGATGAAATTCAATGTGGACAAATGTAAAGTACTCAGTATAGGAGATGTAAACAGGGAAACCAGATACCAGATGAACAACAATGTTATTGAGAAATCCGACTGCAGGAGAGATTTAGGAGTAATGATAAGTAGGAATCTTAAGCCAAGTAAACAATGTGTTGTTGCTGGAAACAAGGCTAATAAGGTACTTGGGTTCATAGAAAGGAGTGTTAGTTACAAGACTAGCGAGGTCATCTTAAGACTATATTGTGCGCAATGTGAGACCTCACTTGGATTACGCAGTTCAATTCTGGTCACTGTATTACAGAATGGATATAGAATCCTTGGAAAGAATTCAGAGGAGAATGTCAAGACTAATCCTGGGCATTAGGAACCTTGAGTACAGAGATAGGTTAAAGCATCTTAATTTGCACTCCCTCGAGAGACGAAGAGCGAGGTGTATAAATGGAAGTCAGGGCTAAACAAAGGGGATGTTACAAAGGTACTCAAATCATCCAACCAGGAACGAACTCGTAACAATGGTTTTAAATTAGACAAATTTAGATTTAGGCACGAAATAGGTAAACATTGGTTTGGAAATAGAGTAGTGGATGAATGGAAGAAGTTAGCAAATATCATCATTAACTCGAATACGCTGGATAGCTTCAAACATAGGTTGGATGCTTATATGAGCAATCAGGGTTGGGTGTAAATGGGAGTAACCAGTATGGGTCAATAGGCCCGCTGCAGTTTCCTCCATTCTTATGTTCTTATGTTCTTATGTACCCTGTACTTTTGATGTAATAATTTTTTTTTCAATAAAGTATTTCAATTTCGGAAGCATAACATGCTCATATTAGAATTTCTTTCATACTATTTTTTTTTGAGGTCACAATGCCTGTGAGGAGAGAAAAGACTTAATTAACTCTAAAGCTAAATAGTAGGAGCACAGTGGTTGAGTGTATATAGCACTCACTTTCTGATTCAGGAATCCGTGGTTCGATTACCTGGTGCTCCCAGTTCACCCAGCTGCAAATGGGAACCTAAGTTTACAGCTTGGGGAAATGAAGGCGGTCGAGATCAGTAACGATCTCCTTGTGTTCCGAAGGCTTAGTATACAGTGTGCTGTATTGTTATGGGAACGTGCTTATTATTTTTACATTTATATTTATTTCTACCTACTCAGACTATGGGCTTTTTCCTATGTTATTGCGCCTTACTGTGAGGCCCAATGTGCTAGGGACCACATGGTGGGTTAGTCAAAGTACGGCGAGGTATTTCGTCATCCACCAGAGGTCATGGGCGTGGCTACTTGATTTACCAGGTAGCTATTTTAGGTTATGCCCATTTGTTGTTGCTTGTGTACTCATTGTTATACCATGTATTTTACCTCATATTTATTACCTATTGTACTCCCATAAATATTCTGACCATCTCGCATTTAAAACCTTGCCTTGTAGCATATGTAAGCTTGTAAATTAAATAACATCCATCTGACATGTGCTGATGAGCGGAGCTTACTGAACGGCTGGGTCACCACTCCTGCCAGCACCCAGGCTATCAAGGAAGGTAGAGTAAGGAAGCTTGACTCCTCATACTGCTGCATGCCGCCAAAATATAGCATCAAATCACTAACTGGGCACTTATAGTTGGGTTGGTCAACGATAGATAACGCCACCGGCGCGTGTGTCTTCTGCAGCAGACTGTGTTTTGGTATATGACGTCATCTGGCTGGACATTCAAGATTCGTTCAGTGTGACAATAACAAAGTTACAGGAAATGGCAGCACGTGGTTGTCATAAGAACATAAGAATGGAGGAAACTGCAGTGGGCCTAATGGCCTATACTGGGCAGTCCCATATTACACCTAACCCCTATTGCTCATATATCCTGACCTAGCTCAGACTCTACCTGACCTAGCTCAGACGCTACCTGACCTAGCTTGGAGAAAAACGTGCTCGTGTTAGTGACCAGAGGAAATAGCCGCAGTGGTAGTTGGGGATCATTGGGTTGTGGGGGAAGAGGGGCGGAGTGTGAGGAAGGACGACCTCCTGGCTACACTGTTAAGTCAGCTGGAGCAGTTGAGGAGAGAGATACACATGTTA